GAAAGATGGAATCTATTCCCTTCCCGAGCCTATTAATCCATTCCCTAGTTAGTTCTGCAAATGAAGCTATCTTCCCTAGCCCGTTAACTGCACTTTTTGTGGCAGGGGATAAAATTGAAAAGGTGCCAAATCATAGGCTTGATTCTACAAGCCTGATGCACCAGGCACTAAAGATCAAAATATACTTTTATAAGAATTGTCTACTTAAAAGGTGTCCCCTCAAAGGGGATACATAAAACTACCAAGCAAGACGCAAGCCAAGCTGCATTTTGCCTTTGATACAAATACAGTGTCAACACAATACAGGCCAGAGACTGGAAGAGGAAGCCAACCTGGGAAAAGTATCTAACCACACAGTCATGGAACATGCCATGAGCTAGGAAGAAAGAGCAAAGCCTGCAAGTGTACTCCTGCGCTACAAAACCAACCTAATAAACTGTTCCCCTTTTTATACAAGCAAAGCATAAGAGGGCACCAGACAGCAAGAAGTAACGTACATTCAAATGTCTTTTCTAGACAGTAGTCTCCTCCTGGAACAACAAAGATAAGCTTGAGTTACGCAGGGAGAGTCTTTCAAAACTCTGGCTATAACGAAGTCACAGGCATAGATATGGTTTCCTTCCTTGGCCTTGCAACCTGACATACATCAGGCACTGCATTACAAGTTGCAGATCCCCATTCACAATGGCACAGAACTCTCCAAGCACTCCTCTCCACTTAGCCAGGGGTGGACAGGGAAACACTACTTTTTTCTAGCCCCCTGCATCTTGTTTGTTTTGCATAGCAACTGTGCTCCTACAGCACAGAAAAAGTTAAGGTTGCTTAGTGCAATACTGCATATATCAAGCCAAATAAAATTTATTGTTGAAATAATACTTAATGAAGAGGGGAAGTGTGATATTCTGATCTCAAGACTGCTTGGCTCCAACTTTTTAAAAACCTAACATTTGAACCATGCAGAAGAGCAACCTATAGTCAGATAAAGCTGACATACATGTAATTCTCACTGAACGGCCTCACTTTCGAGTTTAGATTCAGTACCACGCAACCTTAGCACCATACATCAGTTTTCAGAAGGCAGAGCTCTGTAGAAGTCTGTTCTGAAAGAACAGGACTCACTACTAATTTATTTTTCAATTAATTAAATTAATTAAATTAATTTAATTAATTGGAGATGGAGACTATTATTTAATAATGAGTGTCAAAGCTGCTTCCCTTCCAACGAAATATTTCCATGTTTTGATACTAATACTGCATTTTACTTGTATCTATGTAATAAAAGAAGCAATAGTAATTTTATGTGCCTGTATTCCTACATATAACTACCCCTTCACAAAGCCAACTTCAATCTGTCCCAAATAATTTTTCTATTTGGTCTAAGACAAGAAATAAAGAAACAGAAGATAGAAAAGAGCCTCTAGTATAAATTGACTGTTTAGTGCAGTTGAATATAGTAATATAGTTTAAAAAATAATCTTGTCTTTGTATTTTAGCACAGACTACTTCTGAGATCTTCTAAGATTTTTTTCTGAAGCTATAGCCTTTATGCATAGAACTGTGGTTTCTATACACAAAAAACAGTTACCTGCTCCTGTGTCCTGGAGGAGATACAAATCTGTATCTAAATAAATAACATATTTAACCAGCATCTAATTCTACAAAGAAATCACAGAATGCATGTGCAAATATTGAAGTTTTAGTGTCCTTTTCAGAGTCAACTAAACTTTTTTCCCTTGCAAAAAAATAAATGAAAAAACTGTTCGACATAAAACATGAACCAGTTACATTGGGAGGGGGAAAACAGAGCATTTCCACTTCAATTAGTCAGTCTTTATCAGCAGCATCATTATGTTTAGAAGAGTAGCACAGTAACTATTTGAAAAAAGTTTACATATTACAAAAATTGGAAAGTTTTTTTGGGGGGGAATGCACTAAAGTATTTCTGCATCATATGTTTTAGGATTACTTTCAGGAATATGGTACTACTTGCTTTTCTAATTCTCATGATTTTAAAGTTTGTCAATCTTGTATTCAAACCAGAATCCCCCTGACTCAGAAGAAAGCATACTGGATACGAAAAGTCACATTTTCCACGGCAAGTTACTACAGCGTGTATTCAGTAGGTCAAGAGTGGCTGCTCATTTGTTTGTTTCTTCAGCAGAACAAAAGGTTGTTCTACCAGAGCAGACACTGGTTAATAAAGCCACTGGTACACCCAGTTCAATCCAATGTGTGGTCATTATGTGTGTCAGGGCACTGACTGCCATGTGTCTGGCAACAGGTAGTAAATCCAACACACCATGTTAGGCCTTAGCAATCACACTCTCCTTTTCTTTCTGTATCTGGTCTACTGGTATTGCAGCAACACGATACGTATTTCCACTTGTAGATCCAAATTCCACACTTCAATCTGATTTCTTACCCATACCCAAGCATTCTGAATAAAATTGCAGAGTATGTTTCAGATTTTTCATACACATAGGCTCTCACAACCATTGTGGTCCATCCCAGACTTACTCCAGTTCTCTTGCAGGACTACACACCCCCGTCACCCACCTACTGCTGCACAAGAGTTGAATCCATTAGGTTCTGAGATGCCCTTTATATAAATTCAAAACGAGTTGCAAGTCAATGTACTAGAAGTCCATTACATAAAATAGTTAATAAATACTTAAGTATCATTTCTGTCATCAAAAGACTATCATCTCCTTTTAGAAGTGAATGTTGTTTACTACTCAAATTGCACTTCTGTTCAGAAAACGGAAACCACAAAGAGTCCTCCGTACATTCCAGCCTCTTCTTAATATGCAGAGTACCTCCATTTAGTAAAAAAGTTCACAGGCTGCAGACTAGAGTGGAACAAATACTTTTCAATAATAAGACAAAAAAACCCCACAGAAACCATAAGCCCAAAAACTTCCCTAAAATATTGACTATTTGGAGAGAAAAAACAAAGCAAACCCTAGCAAGTCCAGAGAAGTAGCCACCAGCTTTGTCATCTGCTTTCTCCTGGCAAGCCCATGTTACCTACTCAAGCTCCTACCCCTACACAAGTATCGTACCAATAACTCAAATGGGTTTACTGCAGGTTGTGTGCTATGAAACCAGTGCAAAGGAGTTCAAATTTGACCATATTTTGATAGATACAATCATTAAAATACTAGTTGAAGAAACTGCATAGCTTGTATTCTTCGCACAAAAACTTTGCTGTCCTGAAACTAGGCATTTTAACCAGGGTGTTACAACAGCCAAAACACACCAGTTAAAATTAACTTAAGAACACCTTACATAAAAGGCGAAACCTGCCTTGAACCCCTGTACAGCAGCACATGTAGGCACAAGACTGTACAGACACACCCAGATAGAACTCTACCCTATTACACATGACATGTTAAGCTTCACTTTTCCAAGCTGAAAACCTTGGAAGGCTAAAGTCCTCATTTTGCTATTAGAAAATGAAAAAATTTAGGGGCGAATGCTGTCTTTTGTAATGTAGACTGCAAAATCGCCCCCTCCACAATAATGCAGAATCTCATTGTTGCAACCACCATGACAGTGGTTCTGCAAAAACCAAAAGTGTGTTTCATCTAGGTGTAGCAACACAGATGTTCAGCCTGACAAACACCTACCTGAAAAGAGAAATTCGGGGAAAGAAAAAAAAATAAAAATCATAGGGGATAGATTTCTCTTTTGTTATCAAGACTTTTTTAGCAATTCTCCCTAGATATCACATACTCTTTAACTTCTAAATTCCAACAACTGAACCGACCTACAAGGGGCTCCTGAAGTTACTTCTCCTTGTTGTAAGCCTTGCTACAGAAAGCAATCTGGATGCAATACACCACAACCCTTTTTCAGGTGCACCTTACTCCCTATACCAGCTGACATATTTCACTCCAGGGCATCATGAAAGGAGTGCTGACGCATTTACGTTGATGCTGATCATGAAACAACCTGAACTTTAGAATTAAATGCTGATATAGCAACATAAGATTGCGCACAGAACCACTTTATAAATGCACTCACTCTCTCTCAAAGGCATATAAAAAGCTATTGTTTCAGATCCAGCAAGATAAGGGTGAACAGAACTAAGCAGCCACTGTCCCTTCTAACATAAGAACTAGGGGCCCAACAACACAACCAAGGAGCCAGGCTGAAAACAAACAAGAGGGAACAGCTCTTCACAGAGTGAGCAGTAAACCTGCAGAACACAAAGTCCTTTGGCAAGGAGGCCACAAAAGGATTTACACAGGTTCAAGGGAAGGTTAGAGAAATACTTGGAAGAAATCTAGTTAGAGTTACTGAATACACAAGCAACTTCTAGGCACTGAAGGTTGGGGGAGGGGAGTAGACAGGCAGGACCTGAACTTGTAGCTCTGTTGTGTACCAAAACACGCGGCTTTAGCAACAGGGCAACAGAGAAAAGGGCTGGAGGATTGCCGGTCTGAACCAGTGGGATTGTTCTTGTGTTCACGCTCTCAAATTTGCTCCTTCTGAAGATGCTTCCCAGCCTCTACTATGACTGATCAGTAGTTGCATCTTTAGTAGAACCAGCAACCTGTTCTTCTAGGACTCAAAAATGTTAGCTTAAGAATTTTTTAAAAAATCTAGTTATAAAATAATGACAATTGTAGCAGGGCTCCTCAGCAATCCATATTAACCTACTTCCGTTTTGAAAGACTCCTTCCTGTCTTTCTGTGCAAAAATTCTTATGGTCTTGAATTTTAAAGCTTAGCCTACAGATAACCTAATCATGGTAAACATCGTTTCAAGAATTTGGATCTAAACTTAAGCTCTTAAATCATTACTCAAGAATTAAACTGCTCTTCAGAAGTGTCATCGAGAGATTTGGGAGCACAGTTCTCCTGATCTTAACAAGACCTGTACTTCTAAGTTAAAGCCTTCTTCAAAGCTTAATAATAAAATATAGCTGTTCATTCATCATTACAGAAATCCTACAGTTTCATTACAGTCCCAGTCATTTCAAGTAGGTGACCTACCGAATGTTTTCCAGTGCACTTGTTAGCTGCTGTTGTGCAATATCATAAAGTTTCACTTTGAAGCCTCCAGAAGCAAACACCATGGCCCAGCTGCGACCAATGAGTCCGCTGAAAAGAAAACAAATATCAGCCAATTAATAAAGAAGCATTTATTTGGGGGAAGGAGGTCTTATGAGTGTTGCAAGAGGAAAATAGAGCTTGGACTCTTCGATATTTGATTAAAAGATTGGTTACATACTGATAAGAAATCTCTAACAGAGAAATATCCTTTGATGGCTGTGTAGCAGTTTCTCTGAGAGCTGGGAGAAAGATAATGAGGAAGAAAAAAAAAACAAACAGAAAAAAAGAAATAAGACAGCAGAATTCAAATAGTAGCAACCACTACTTAGAGACACTGGACGCAAGTATTAACACTTTGTCTGCTACAATCCTAAACTGGAGTTGGTGCATGGAATTGCACTAAAGAGGTGGGGTTTTTTAAAAAAAAAAACACAAAACCACTCATTTGTTCAGTTCACAGTCTAAATACAGACAGCAGCCCATTGGTCCAAGAGTTCAGGATCCTGCTTCAGAGATGGTCAGCAAACCTAAGGCCCACCTAACAAAGACATGGGTTCTCAGCAATTCGGGAAGTACCATAAGAATGTGAAAAGGAAAAAACCCAAACAACCAAATACAGGTTTGATACTACTTTTCCACCTACCCTTCTCTAGCACTACCTTCATTTTTAGATGAAGCACTCTACCACGCATGCAGAACAGTCTGCCTACATCTTTTGGTGAAGTCACATTACTGAGAAATACAGAGAGGAAACTTGTAGTAACCAACAATTTTATCATGCCTCTCAAAGCAATGCAGTTTTTAACTTAATTAGATCTATAGCAGGCATCAGCCTCTTCAAATGGAAGCACTGAGGCACAGTGTCAAAAGCTTAAATAACATGAAGTAAAAAAAAATAAAATAATAGATATATGCAACAGAGACAAGAGCAGAACTCCATGGCCATGACTGTTATAGCAGGGGTTGTGATAATTACATGCACTACCTGTCTCATTTCCAAGATCACTGTACTTGCAGTATTAAACTTAAGGAACCTCTGCCAACTGGAAAATGCAAGGCCACCAAGGCATCAATAAAGGACTAGAAGCGGCGTAAAAGTCAGAGATAAAGCAATAGGGCAGATGAGAAAAGAAGGAAGAGAAAGCAGGAACATGTTCGGCCTTTGGTTTAAATACGGAAAAAG